GTTTTGTTGTAGGTAACGTGTTTTTTTAATGAAATGAATAAATACAAATTTGAATTTGAAAAAAATTGAAAAGAATTATTTTAACTTATTTTTCTATGGCTAATTTTTGAAGTATATAAGGCTAAAGACTTAGAAAGTCTAACAAGGTTGAGTCAGGTCCTCTGGACGGGTTTTTCTTTGTCCAAATGTTTCGTTTTTTTAACCAAAACACTTCTTCAATCTGAGGAGTTGCGTGTAAACTCTGTTTTGTGAGCAGTAAAGTAAATGTGACTTTTTTWAAATCAGTTTGTGTTTATTTAGACCTGGAAGAAGACATCAGTTTGTACAGACTGACTTCTCTGTGCATCACGATTGTTAGATTTTGTTTCCTTGTACGGCCTCATCATGAAAAGCCTCACACATCGATGAAGGTGTGATGAGGGTGTTTCTTGGCACGTTAGCAGCAAAACAAAATATTGTGATTGGAACCACGTCAAATACCTTTCATATCTACCTGATGATGCTTTTAAGGAACAGATACAAACTAAAGTAAAAACCAACCGGRGAGCTCCTTGAGCTCTGCAGAACGAGTTTGAACACATTTGCTTGTTTCATACCTGATGCTGTCCGTAGTGTTTTCAGTTTGTGAAGGAAATGTTTTACTGGGAGAGCAGCTGCTCAGCGAAGGAAGGCTCCTTTCTCTGTGGTTACTGGGCGTGTTTGTAAAGTTTCCTGCCATCGCTGCCTGGTTTGTTGTTGAAATCTGTCCAACAATAAAGCTCAGTTTAAAATCACTTATTTGTAATGCTTTGATAAATAAAATAAGTCATGAAATCTCACCTGAGCTCCTTGCTCCTCTGTCCTCTGATCTCCTTCATCCTCTCTTTCTTTCTTGGAGAGCTTCTCCTTCCATCTCTCCCTAATCTTCTGCGTCCATCGTTTTTTTTTATTCACAGACGGATGMTTTTTCCTGGTGTTCGTCGTCACTTGGTTGCCAGAGAAAATTTGCACGTCTGTGCTTTCTTTTGAACCATCAGTTCCTCCGTTTTCTGCATGCAACACTTGACTTTCTTCACCAGCTGTGTTGGCATGGGACCATATGGGTGTGAAGCTCTGGTTCGTGTTCAGAGGAACGTGGTTTGCCATCATGGATTTGCCAGAACTCCCATCGGTGCTCTTGAAGCTGGTGAGACTAACGTCCTTGGAGGGTCCAGGGAACAGCTGCCCTGTTCCTTTGGGGGAGAATTTAATTTGGGTGGGGGAACCCACCGGCACCCGCCTCTCACCGGTGTCTTCATCAAGGTCCACTTTCTGTGAGGCGAAAGAAGTCCAACCCCTTCCCACATAATGACCAGGACCTGGCTGCTGTGCAAACCTTCCAGCAGAGACTGGAGCCTTCTTAGAGGGGGAGATGTCAAAATCAAAGCTAATCATTGGCTTGTTGTCAACTTCCTGGTGGTTAGGCCCTCCTCTCTCCCTGTCTGGTCCCACGGTGAAGGCTTCTGGAGGGGATCCAGGTGTCTGCAGGTGTGCCTGACCATCTTTTCCTGGCTGGATCTTCAGTTTCTGCAGCATAGACTGCAACAAGTCCTGCGAGTCTGTCGGCTGAGGTGACTGAGACATCGAGGAACTGGAACTTCTCATCTTTCAGTCCTTTAAGTCCTAGAAAAACACATGTAAACAGTGCAGTGTCTCCAGCTAAACAGGGGTTGTTTTTTGTTGTTTTTGGACACTCCGATCTCCTTCCATTACGTCGACAGTTCCTTGTTACAAAAGTAAACCCACATCTTGCTGCTTAATCTTCCTGAGTCTTTTAAAGATTTCCAAACGAACCCTTTCCCTTTCTGAGGTTTTGGCACAAATCCTCACAATCTGTTGTCCTTTTAAAAGTCTCTCCTTTCCACTCAAAGTCCCACAGTTTGAACACACCAGCTTGTTTGGGTCAGACTTATGTCCCCGGTGATGGGCGGAGAGACACTTCTCGTTCCTCAGATCGTAACACGCTGAAGCAGACAAACGAGACAAACCAGCAAGGTGAGATAATTTTTATTTTAATTTTTTTTGCTTTGACAACGACGCTCCCTCAGACTCATGTTTTAAAATCGCCCTTCCTTCCTATTTCTCGCTGACTCTATCTACATGTGCACGCACACACCCTCTTTCTCCCCACTGCGCCTCTTAACTAGTGACTGAAGACATTTAGTCTTTCTTTTGAAATAAATTAAAAACTGTCCTCTATACTCCAGTGTCCTCTGTACTCTGTTCTTATTTTTTTTGTGTTTTTACTGTTGTTGAAGAAGTCTAATAGCAGCTGACTGACCCAGCATGACAGTTTGTTGGCTAATGGTGGTTAGCTGTGGCGGCCATCTTGAATTGGATTGAAAAGTTAGAGTTGTAGTTGCACAAAGACCCATGAATACTTACATCTATTATCCATAAAAACATTMATTTACACAAACCAACCATTAAACTAATCATTTGTTGATCAMCTTTTGATTTAACTACAGCTTGGTTTGTCTTCACACACCTGTGTGACYCTGATCCACCTGAAACAAAGCTTAGCTGTCCTGATCCAAATATGTAGTAAAAACACTGTGGATCATCAAAAGCACAGCGTGCACACAGTGAAACAWGGTGGTGGCAGCATCATGATGTGGGGCRGCTTTTCTTCACCTGGAATTGAAACGGACTGATTAACAGCTCCTGTTTCTTTTGGGGGTAAATAAAATCATCAGGTGATGAAGAGGAATTCATTTTGTTTCTAAAATCCCAGTGAACCCAAACGAACATCCGAATCAAGAAAATAATAACTTCTCGCAAAAAAAGACAAGAAATTGCATTTTTGTTAAAATACAGCATGAATGCCGACATTTGAAGCTAAAACTGAGTTGTTAAAAGAAGCAGAAAACTAGCTAAAAGTAGCTAATGTTAGCCAAAAAAACTAAAGTACTAGCTTAAAGCTAAAAGTATCTTAAAATTAGCACAAGAAGACATAAACAGAGCAAGATTAATAAAAGTGATGAGCTGAATGTTTTCATATATAAATGACTAAAAAACAAGTAGTTACATTTAAAAATAAACAAAACAACAGAAAAACTGTCGTGTGAATTACACAGGTAAAGGTTTTGTAATGGGCGAAGCAGAGTCCGGATTAAATCTGATGAAGACCCTCTCACACACTCGCCCTGCTCCCCACACTTCACTCACCGTGAAGCCCCCCTGGCAGCTGCACTCAGTCCTCTTGATGGCGCTGTGCTGTTTACACCCTCCGCTTGGATCTCCTCACACCRCCGGAACAGGAAGCTGTCGTCACCATGGTAACAGTCCTAAACAAACCATAGTAAACATTTAAATAGGCCCACATTTTAGAGAGTTTTCAGATATGACTGTATTTGTAACAAACAGTGTGATAACTTGTCAAAAATGATTGCGCTTTTAACGTTTTTTAAATAATTTATTTATTTTTTCTTTATTTTTTAAATGTTTCCTTTCATCTTTTTTTTAAATGYGGACCATTGTTCTGTGTCTTTAATAAAGTTTGAATTGAACATGATTTGTAGCCTATGTGAAATTATATTGGGTGGTGTTTACTTAGTAAAATGTGTACAAAACATATGTGGAACTTATATTTGTACGTCCCATGCTCTATACCGACCACTATTTCGTGCTGCACTTGCTGCTCAAGTCTGCAAGSATGCTGTGGATGGCTTAATAAGTCACTAGCCCTGGTACCTAATTGGTTTCAGACGGGACTTAAATAATACTTAAATATACTCAAATATGGCCAAACCTCCGCAGGAACGCGTAAACTGAGGGAGTAGGGCGAGTKTGTATCCACCTGTTGGGAATCTGTGTTTTTGCCTGAAGAAAGCCTAAATAATCTGACAGGTGGGAGAGATGACCTGTTCAAGGCGTGGCCTGCTGACAGACTCATGCCTTAGAAGGCGGTAATTAATATCAGTTTCAGGGTGTGCACACTTTTGCAACCAGCAGCTGTGCAGGATATATGCTAGTAAATGTAGAATTTGAGGCTTTTACATCCACTATACAGTACCGCGCACAAATTCAAGTTTTTCTTGTGAACAAACTAAAAGTGAAACATCTGTGTTTTGACAAGATCCTCAAATCAGCATGCAACTTCAATGTGAGGGCTTTGCAAATGATATCAGAAATAGGAACGTTACGGTGTASAAAACTGTTTCAGACTCCATTGAGCAAGAAAAAAATGCGTATTTAAAGCTTTCAAGAACACTTGAAAAAGAAACTTGTTTGAGTTGATATCACAGGAGCATGCATCATCATACAGATTTCCATAAAGTCGACTTTTTTAAGAGCAATGGTTCATTTTATGTATTTAGAACGTACTTCATGCCAAAATAACCCCACTTTATAGATACACGCGCATAAACAAATTAAATAAACTGATTAAAAAACCTGTACAATAGATTGCGCATGCGCAGAGATGAAACCGCGCCCCTTTCCTCTCTTGCCTCTTTCTGATTGGTCCACATTACGGAAGCGTGTTGTGGCGGCGTAAACAAGAGGAGACAGGATGGGCGAAAGAATCGAGCGATTATCACTAATAAAAATGTAAACAACAAGCAAACAAATATGTTCTCTGCGGGAGGGTTTGTACTCTTCAGACCCGTTACACAAACCTAATTATCCGAATGAGTGGCGGAGGCTGGTTTTGTTCAGCTTTTTTTAAACCTGGTTTGCTAATTTTGACGGGAAAAAAAGTTTAGAGATGCAGTGTGTCGTGACGGGAGGAAACGTGAAAGGTAGCAACAGTCCCACGGTTTGTTTGACACTGTTTTTGCTAAAACTTGACTTTGAGCTGTGTTTTTGTGTGTGTGTGTGTGTGTGTGTGTGTGTGTGTGTGTGTGTGTGTGTGTGTGCGTGTGTGCGTGTGTGCGTGTGTGCGTGTACCTTTCAGTCCTGGCCAAAGCCATCCACTCTCTGTCCAGGATTGGAGACGAGCTGTACGTGGAGCCTCATGAAGGAGACGGGGTAACAACTTCTGTTAGATACACCAACACTTCCTGCTGTGCACACAGCMCGCTCGCTTCCTGTTAGTTCACACTTTGCGTCAATGAACGATGCTGATTGTTGTGTTTTTTTTCTCTCTCTCTCATAGCTGGCCCTGCGGTCTGTGAACTCCTCTCGGTCGGCTTATGCTTGTTTCCTGTTTGCACCGCTCTTCTTCAGCAGGTGCAGTCTCTCCCTGTGTGTGTTTGACTGGGTCAGTGAACGTCTCATTCATCACAGACCCTAAATGCATCTTTCCTCTGCTGTTTCCTGTGCAGGTACTCCATCCGCAGAGGGCTCGACTTCCGCTGTAAGATAGCCATAAAGGTGTGAGAGGACAGACACGTTATTTACTGTCTGAATCGTTTTGTTCTTATTTGTCTCACCGGTTATTTATTTATTTATTTTTTACCCCTCGTAATCTCTTTGAAACTTTTTCTTGTTTCTTCAAATATTCACTGTTTTGCAGAAAAACAGTAACTATTGGAGCGTTTTCTGCTAAAACTGCAAAATCATTGAATACAACAATCATCTTCTGAAAAAGCTTAAAGGGATCCATGATTAGTTGTAACGTTAGACTTTATTTGATAAACGTATTTTAACTGTAAAATAAAGACTAAAAATACTGTAGTATGTTTAGTTTTTATTAATTTTAAACTAAAAGTTTAAAAATACGTTACACGGRCTGATCCATTTTATTTACATGCAAAGCTTTCTGGGTAAATGATGACGTGGATAGGTCTTTAATGTGAGGCTGCTAGCGAGCTATATCCACCCTGAAGGTTAATCTTGGACRATATCTGATGATACTTTTCAGTACATGTCAGCTCATTTGAATATGATCAACTTTGAAAGCAAATCGTAAAGACCTGAAGGATAAAGGTGCTTTATTTACCTTATGTTAGTTTTTGTTTTTATACAGTTACTAGCTTTCTTTAAATTGGTTTGTTTTCCTTTTTGTCATAAAAGAGCTAAATGTTTGAACCATGTCTCACATTTTTCCTAAAGTGCAGCTACATCCTGTCACGTCATGGCGTTAGACCTGCTTCAGTTTGACGACTCAAGCGTTAGTTTAAACACCTTCAGTCTTACCGTTCAGTTCTTGGCAGAAGGACGTCTTCAGTTTCTGTGATTCTGTCATTCAGTTAAAAGCTTCCCAGCAGAGAGAGAGAGAAAAAAGCTGAACGACCTCATGAGCGTTTCATTTGTGCTCCTTCTTTAAACGCTATCTTCTCTGCCATGTTGCCACCAGAAGGTTGTGGTTATCAATGTGAACTTTTTTTTTTTTTTTTTTTTTGCAAAACCTCTGGTGACTTCCTCCTGCTGACAGTTGTAGATAATCTCACAAACTAAAACAGACCGTCCCCTTGTCCCCCCATAGTTTATGAAAATGACCAGTTTAAGTTGTTTATGCGCCTCAGATCAGTTATGACATTTCACTTGACATAAACAAGCTGCTGTCCTCATTGTGTTTGTCTCCTTCCTCTGTTCCTGTGTGTAACAGAGCGTGCAGACGGTGTTCAGGTCTGTGGCAACTTTAGAGAAAACGGTGGAAAAGTGTCATATTGAGCTCGACGAAGCAAAGGACCGCCTGACTTTCACCCTGCACTGCAAACACGGTAACTCGGGAGCTGAACGATTCACGTCGACACGTTTAATGCTGATTAGAGCTGCTGGGAGTTGATTCTGTTGTTTTGTCATTATGCTGGTATTTTCCTCTGCAGGCCTCCTAAAGACACACAACCTGTCCTACCAGGACAGTGAAAGCCTACAGGCCGTGTTTGATAAAGACAGCTGTGTGAACGTCTTCAGAGCTCAGCCCAGGTCTTTCAAGTCATTTGTTTTCCTTTCTTTTCTTTGCTGAGCTTTTTAAAACTGTAGTTTTTCAGAATTTACCAACTGGTTACTGAAACAGCACCATACACAACCAACATGTGCAAAAAGATAATAATAAAAATAGTAAAGTTTCTATAGGGTTTTATAAAGTCATAAAAAGTCCTAAATTTAATCATCTCAATTATGTAGGCCTTAAAAGATTTAAATATTTTCATTGTTTCCATTTTAGGTCTTAAACTGTATTTCTTAATGTTTTWTTTCATCATTCTTTCCTCCTATCATTTTTTTTGTCTGTTGGCATTTGTTTTATTTATTTGTTGTTCTATCGGAGGATTTAGTGCTTTATTACACTGTAACAACAATAAAAGTCCCATCATGCAACAGTTCTGTCAGAACTAATTTAGTTTTCCTCAAACAGAATCTTGTTTTTTACTCCTGAAACTGGTTTCTTGTCTATTTTTTCTTTAATAATTTGAATGAAAGACGAGAAGATGTATTAATTAGAGAACAACTTTTTTTACGACTTGTTTTTTTAATTGATGTAGGTCCTGTTTTGGAATTCTAATRATGTTTTAAAGCTCTTGTTGAACTGAAACGATGCATGAAGATTACATTACTACAACAACAATATTCAAAACAAAGTGTGTAAGTGGGAAGGGGGCCATTCTTAGATTAGAATAATTAGAATCGTTACTGTGTAAACAAGAAAAAAATACTTATTTATAAAAATGAAAAGTGTTTCCCATAAATTATCCTAATTTAGACTTGAATTGTTTTTATAATCACTGTTAAATTTACTGGAAGAGACTCAAATTATCAGAGTCATTGTCCTCCACATCCTCTAACTATACTGTATGTCCTTGTCTTTTCCTGGCAGCTGCACTGTCCCTCCTCTGGACATGTCCAAACCATCAGTCTGGTCTCTCTAACTTTATCCTCCAGTGGTTCAACATATATTGTACCTCTGATTATCTCATTCCTAATCTAACCAATAGTTTTCATCTCTGCTACTTTCAGTTCTTTTTGTCAATGTCTCCAAACCAGCTGGTCTCCCYGGTACCTTGTTCTTTGCTGCCACTCACAACGTCGACAGTGATTAAATCCAGACATCTAAACTCCTCAGCAGTCTCATTAGCTCAAAACAATCTTTTAAAAAAGGAATTAAAATCTGTTGTTTTACTGTATTTCCAAGTGAAGACATGAACTGTAGATTCAGTGTTTGTCCTGCTCATCGTCTTCTGCCCTCAGAGTCCTGGTGGACACGGTCGTCCACTTCCCTCCGTCCGTGGACGAGGTGACGGTGACGGTGAGCGATGAACGGATGTGGGTCAGGAACCACGTGGAGGACGAAGCAGGTGCCATTTTGCTTTTGGTTAGGTGTTCGGCTGTCACAGCAGCAGAAGTCAAACTGGTCGTAATTCTTGCCGTTACATCATCACATTTTAAAGAAACTCTGTTACACAGATTAAAAAAAAGTTATCAGATGGCTTTTAATGACAGGAAATRATGCAATAAGTGTTTAAATAATCTTGACTTCATTTTCGACTTTACATTAGCAGAAAGTAAACCTGTAAATCAGAATTATAAGTTGGTTGTTTCTTCATATGTTTTCCTCAGAGCGGTCCAGAGCCATGCTCACTGAGATGTGTCTGGCTTCAGACGAGTTCGACCATTTTGAGGCCAAAGCTCACAACAGCATCACGTTTTGTTTGAAGGAGCTTCGGGTGAGACAAATATCCCAAAGATGGGCTGGTTATTAGACAGATTTAGATTTATTACTCTCTTTTTTATTTATTTATTTATTTTTGTTCTTCTTTTCAGGGTTTGTTGGTGTTTGCAGAGTCCACCGGCCTCCCTGTGTCTGTGTACTTTAACGAGCCAGGCAGGTGAGTGCATGTTTTCACATCTTATAACAGGTCTTTTGCTTTTTTGTGTTGATGTGTGTGTTTATATGTGTGTGTGTGTGTATTTGCAGCCCCGTGGTGCTTTCAGTGACAGACAGCGTCCTGGAGGGGAACTTTGTACTGGCCACGCTTTCAGATGATCACAACGTCCAGGACAACGAGAGTCGAAGGTAAATAAACAAATGAATCAATCGATTGATTCTTATTTATTATTAAAAATAACAATAATTTAAAAAACACATTTAACGGGGACATATCACGCAGAATCCACTTTTTAGCTGTTAAGTACATTTTGTTGTGTAATTTGAGTTACTAGGAGTGCAGAAATGTTTAATTTAGTCAATTGGTGCTGCGTAGATATCTTTATATTCTGTTTGGTTCGTACTTTTCAAATTGTTTAGTGTTATCTATTTTCTATGATGAGTTCTCGACAATTATGCCAAATTATTTGCAAAAGAACGTCTAAGTAAGGTCTGGACTTACCAACTACAGTTTGATCGTCTTCATTCGCCTCTTGCTTTGAGTCAGACTCTGGCTCCAACATGTGAGGCCGGATGAACAAGTCTTCCCTTTATGACATCTTTTAATTTGTAAATAAAATGTGTCTGTGCTGCTATACAGTCGTAAACACCTCTATCAAACTAGAATGGACCAGTCTGGAAGCTGGAGGGGGGCRGAGTGWGAAGSAYCTTGTTTGGATTTAAAGAGACAGCCTCAAAAACGAGTTGATTTGAGACACAACTCATTAAWGTGGTGAAAGAGGGGCTTGTGGAGTTACAATAAGGTAGAACCTAGACCTAAACGTTACAGTTTCACTTTACAGACACCCAAACTGAACGATTTAAAATCATATGTCTCCTTTAAGGTAATTTCAAACAGCAGTCTGTGAAAATATTAAACAGTGATGATGAGAGGATCAGGTTAGTCCTGAGGTCCAGGCTGTCCAGGTCTTTAATTTAAAACTGTTAAAYTAATGTATYGTGTTAAAGTACTATATAATATAAYATATTTCATTTGATTTTATAAAACGTTGCTAAATGATCAGTCAGTGGAAAACTTGGATTTATTTTTCTTTCTTTAAAATGAATACATCAGCTGTCAGATTTACAAAAAGTGACAAAATGAACGTGTTTCATGTTTTAGCCAAAGCTTTCAGTCACAGACAGGAAGTGACTTGTGCTCCACCTGGTGGAGAACGGGGACATATATCTGTTATTTTAGCAGACTGGGTTGATTTTGTTCAGCGGCAGGCGATTTAGATTACCCGCTTTGTGTTTCACTTTAAACTCCTGATCGACCTCTGTTGATGTTTTGTTGTCGTTTTGATGGCAAGGTGCCAAACGTGGCAGCATTTTTGTACTCTGTTGTTTTTCTGCCAAATGAAAAAGAAAGCGGCGTGTCCCTCACCGCCCGGCAAGCTACAGCTCTGAACACAGCTCACATGTGATCTGTGGTGTTTGGGCTGACTCTCAGCTACCACCACTCCTGACCAGGAGGAGAACAAACCTTGATGTTCTTCCCTCTTAACTTCACAGCATCGTTCTTTCTGACTCGTGTCTCCTCAGAGCGCAGGCAGAGCCGCCGCCTCCCGACGACTTCATGAACGACGACATCGACTCTTATCTCATCGCCATGGATACCAGTGTCGCACCGGGTCCATCCACCGCAGAACCATCCACGTCCTCGGCAGCCGGTCACAGGACCAGAAAGCACAGCGAGGAAGAGGAGGGAGAGGAGGAGGAGGAGGAAGCGACGGACAGACCACCTAATAAAAAGGTTTGTGTACCAGGTCTAGGTGGGCCGGGTCCTTGGTCGACCTCGAAGACCGGAAAAAAGTGGCTGTGAGTTTGGACGGTCTAGCCTTCTGCTTTAATCCTGCCCTTACCCCGGTGTGCGTCCTGTTGCCTAGCAACCGCGACGTCACTAAACAGAAGCCAAAATAAATCTAAATTGTGACCATCATATAGAAATGAGGATTAAGTCAAATTTGGTCAAAACGATCTAATCACATTTTCAGATTCCTGCTTTAAAAGCTTCATTTTGATACCTGGATCATTCTGACATCTTAAGTAAATCCATACAGATGACTTAATTTGTCTCGTTGGTTACAATAATACATTACTATTTGGTCTGAATCCTAATTTTATGTAAATTTAGTGAGTAAATTTTGATGTCAATATAAAGAGGAAACCTCAAATAGTATTTGTACAGTATATTAAGATTTCACAGTTGGAACGAAACAAAAACATTGCCAGCTCACAGAGAAAAAGTCTAACATTTAATGCGTTTTTCCTCACAATCTGTTTTTTTGTTGCTACTGCTCAGAAAAATACTTCAAAAAAATTGTTTTAGGATTATATTTCAGACAGTTCATTCAAATGATACATTGATAAGGCTTTAGTTCAATATATTTTGACAAAATGCAAATTTTACACCCRTTTAAATCAAAACTCTATATCTGCTTATTTCTCCACATTCCAAATTTGGACTTAATCCTCGTTTCGATGTGATGGGTCACATTTATACTTTACATTGTAATAGCACGTTAGCAACATAAAGACAGTATAAAACATTTAGCTTTATTTTTTTACTCACTCAAATGCTGCAAATTACTCCCCTCAATGAAAAAGAAAAAACAGCAAAAAAATAAAATAAAATAAAATAAAATAATATAAAAAATAAAAAAACCTATTCTCATTAACTGTTTTTTATTATAGATGTATACATTTTCTTATTTCTGTCATTTTTTTATATTCAGCTGTTCCCTAAGTTTTGGAAATGATGCTATTTTATTGATGTATATAGTTACCTTTTTAAATCTTTTTATTTGTTTTTAGTGGTGCTTTTTAAATAAACCTAGCACACACCTGTGAGCTCCAGACTACCTGACTGTCAAAACTCCCTTCGCACTTTCTGGTGATCACTTCATTTTGTGCATTTTATCCGAAACATTTAGTTGCTACTTTGCCATTTAAATCCAAAGTAAGGTGCAATGAAGGACTTGGATAATGACATGTTGAAATTTKTTGTGTGTTTTAGCACACTTAAGGTCTGATTTGAATAATCTTAAACTGGTACTGATCACCATAGTTTTATTATCTCTATTTGTAGAATGGTAAACTAGTATTTGACTGGGCTGCATATTTTGGCCTAAAACTGCATAAGGGAGTCCCCAAAGTATTTGCCAAGACAATTTGTCGTTTCTCTCAATTTGTCACAGAGTCGTTGCAAGTCTCTGAAACCCTTCTTAATTTAATTTCTAAGWACAGGCAGAAACGCTGGGTGGTAGTGGGGACAATCTCCATATAAAAAAATAGAGATTGTGCCCCAAATAAATAATATGGTGACATTTTATTATTAGCAAATTTAGTGAACAAAAAAGCTAATCCAACATTTTTTAAGGAAAACTACATATAGTTCACCCCTTTCAAAAATTTTGCCTCCCCACCCCCACAATCAATAGTGATTTAGTCATTGCACACCTGCTTAAAAGTGCCTGTGACATGACAATGATGTCACGAATATGAACGCATGTTTTGAAATATAAAATTTCTAATGTTTTGATTTTAAAAAATCATGGCAGTAAGATGAACAGTTGTTGAGATTTTTGCACATGAAGTAACAGGAAGTGATGTCAAAGGGGGAAATTGAACATGAACAGAGCATTGCTACAACAGACTGCACAACACAGATTGTAGGGAAGAATCAGATGTTTGTTTAGATTATTTTGTGTTGCAATCAGAGAAAGATGAGTTCAAATAACGTTATGAACAAAGATACAGTGGTTAAAATAAGTATTGAACACGTCACCATTTTTCTCAGTAAACATATTACTAGAGGTGCTAATRACATGAAATTTTCACCAGATGTCGGTACAACCCAAGTGATCCATACATACAAAGAAATCAAACCATARATGTCCAGAAATGAAGTTATTTGTAATAATGTGGAATGGCACAGGGAAAACATATTGAACACATGAAGAAAGGGAGGTGTAAAAAGGCATGGAAAGCCAAGACACCAGCTGAACTCTNTTGTACAGTATATTAAGATTTCACAGTTGGAAAAAAACAAAAACATTGCTAGCTCACAGGGAAAAATTCAAAAGTTTAAAGCGATTTCCCTCAAATAGTATTTGTACAGTATATTAAGATTTCCCAGTTGGAAAAAAACAAAAACATTGCTAGCTCACAGGGAAAAATTCAAAAGTTTAAAGCGATTTCCCTCAAAATCATTTTTTTGTTGCTACTTCTCAAAAAATGCTTCAAAATTTTTTAGCATTTATATTTCAGACAGTTCTTTCAAATGATACATAGATAAGGCATTATATTTTGACAAAATGCAATTTTTGCACACGTTTAAGTCAAAACCCTACATCTGCCCATTTCTTCACATTCCATTTTTGAACTTAATACTTGTTTCGATGTGATGGATCACAATTAGCAAAATATTAATATATTAGTTTTATTAAAACCACAAAACAACAAAATTAGCTTAAAGGCAGTATTTGAAGATCTAAGGGACCCGCCATACATGCTTGTTTATTTTGCTACACCAGCTCGTTTGATTTCTGACAAGAATAAGACAAAAAAGAATAATAAATAATAAAAAGCACATCAATACAAATGACAAAAACATTAACAACACAACCACTTTAATTTTTATATCACCAGATTTTTATATAAAACTATAGGCTTTGCTCCATCCGCCCATTACGAGCAGAAAAAATCTCCGGTCAGCCCCCGCAATGCATTATGGGACAGGCTGGGCCAAGAAGGATCCATTGGACCCGTCCTTGTCGGCCTCTTATGTCACCGGAGGCGTGGCACAGTGACTTAAGAGGCCGACAAATTCAGCCTTCGGAGGACCCAGTCTCTGAATTTGGACACGGCCACAGTTGGGGCTGGGCGATAAAACAAAAATGATTTATCATCATAGACGTGATCATCGGTAGAAAATACGTCTGGCAGAACTTTGATAACTTCACTGAACTCCTATTCAGAACCACATGGCATTCTGGGGGATGTAGGCAGAGGAAAGGCTTTAACCGCTCAACCGCTCATGGTCCAGCTTAGTAAGGTTGGTGGCAAAAGTTAACGCTTTGGTAAACTAGCAACATAACTGCTTAAAAATATAAAAAAGAACAATGTGGAGTGAAGGGAGAAAATGATGCAACAGATCAAGAGGAAGTTGTGGATAAAAGAGAAATGGTAATGTCACCAGTTTGGCAGAGTTAATCAGCCTTTTTTTCTACTGGTTTTTATTTCAAATAGGCAAAAAACAAAAAACTAATCAACATTTATTGATACTGACTGATATGAAGCTCTTATAGTGATACATTTGTCAGCCTTATCGCCCAGCCCTAGCCCCAATCTTTAAAAGTGAATGTGAGAATTTGACCTGCAGATCTACAACAGGTAAGATGTTAATCGTTCACAACTCGTCCACAGAACCTCACTTCTAAAGCTCTGACCCGACCATTTAATTCTTACTAATAAAAGTGTCAACATTTCTGACCGGCTGATCAGTGTCAAAGTATCTCATCTGTTCAACATCTGTTTACCGTTTAAATAAAATTCCTTCGTCTGTTGTCCTCTCGCAGTTCCGCTCCCTCTTCTTCGGATCGGTTCTTCCTCCGTCCCCTCAGATGAGCACGCAGCCGGTGACGACACAGGAAGTGCTGGCGAGCGACAGCGAGGACGACGCTGAGGCGGAGTGACGGTCAGAGAGGGAGAGCGCCGTTACACCTCGACACCTGGGGTACTTGAAGCAGAATTTGAACATTTCGGACCCTGCGGGGCAGTTTCTGAAATGGGCCTGGTTGAACACACAGAGGGCAGTATTTCATTTTTTATTTTGAACCGAGGACTTTTCACAGTGAACTTGAAAGAAAAAGACTGTGATTATGTGAAACTAAACATGAACCACTTCGGTTTATTTTTGTTTTTTTTCACGAAGATGTTCGATTTAGATCCAAACACAGGAAATAAACTTGCTTTTCATACTACGTTAAAAAATGTTTTTATTTATTTACATCTTTAAATTGTAAACCCACCAAGTGCCTCTTCAAGAAGTAAAATTTAGACTTTTTGTTTGATTTAAAAGTAAGATTCAGCATAAGAAGCAGAAAATCTAAGTGTCTGTGATCCAGTCTTTGCCGGAGGAGCCGCATCCTCACAGCTTTTCCCTTCCTGCTGGAAACCTTTCCCTCTGGTCTGCGGTTTCCTCCTCTCCTTCTTCTTTTTCAACCTCTCCCCCTCCTTCTCCTTCCTCTCCTGCTCCCTCCGCCTCCTCCTCCTCTCCCTGGAGCTCAGTTTTCCCTCCTGTCTGTCCTCTGTCGGCCTCTCCGGCTCCGTCACGTAGCTGAAGTCCTGGATCAGGATCTTGGGCACCTGCAGTTTGGGCTTCTTCTGCTTGTCTTTCCGAGGCGTCTCTCCTCTCAGCTTGCGGAGGAGGCCGAAGCGTTTGGACGTGTCGGGCTGCAGCGTCTCCGTCGGCGTCTCGTCCGGAGCGGCTTGGATCGTCTTCACTTCTTTGATCACGGTTGTTTTCTCCGGCGAGGTGAAGAGGTCCTCAGACAGCCTACGGGTTAACTTGGAGCTGGACGACTTGCGGATGCAGACGTCACCGGAGGAACAACTGCTCCGACGGCCAGGAGCTTGACTCCGGTCCTTAGCAGCCTGAGAGTCTCTGTCCTGGGTTAGTTTGTTGCTGCCAGTAAGCGTCGGTTCAAAAACCTTTCCTGCTGTGTTTTCTTGAACCTTCTCTGTGTCTTCTCCCTCCTCTCCTCCGGCAGTGAAAGGACTCTCTGGTCGTTCGGGGGCTCTCGTTTCAGAGGTGTTTACGGGCGTCGAGCTCTCCTCACTCAGCTCTGGACTTTGCATTAAAATTTCCTTCGTTCCCGCAGGAGCGACACGGTCTGCGGCCCCCTCGCTCGTCTGAGCTGCTGTCTGTGTTTCCTCTGTCGGAGCACAGGTGCCCGTCTCTCTGAGGTCTGGCTCAGGGGTCTCGCCCGGCGTGTTTGTTATGAGTCCTTCTACGTCACTTTCTGCACCTTTGGTTTCCGTTTCCTGTCTCCGTTGGACGTTCTCGGGCAACGTTGGTGTTTCTGTTTCTGTCGCGGTGTCTGCTCGTGTTGTTCCTGCATCCACTCGGTCCTGTGCAGCTGCGTTTTTTACCGGTCCCTGAGTTTCTGTCTCCTGTTCGTGGGACTCTTCTGTTGTTTCTACCGATGACTCATCACTGAGGTGTTTTTCATCAAACGTCTCTACCTTTGTTTCTGTGATCACTTCTTCTTGCTCCTGCCGTGGGCCTGTTTTAGGATCCTGGTCTTGGTCCAGATCGGTCTCACTTCCCGTGTCGGGGGCCTGTGCAGCTGTGTCCGCCTGGTCTTCAGGTGTGTTTTCAGTTTCCTCCTCTGGTATCACGTCAGCTTGTTTGATCGTCTCTTCTCCTGAGTCTTTGCTTCCTTGGAGCTCCGCCTCTGCGTTCGTCCTGTTTTCTGCCTGTTTTTCTGTCTGGATGTCCTCCAGAGCTGTGTGATGGTTTTCTCCCATCTCTGTCTCTGTCTCCTCAGATGTTTGATGGTTTTCTCCTGTCTCTGTCTCCTCAGATCTTTGATTTTCTCCTGTCTCTGTCTTTGTCTCTGTCTCCTCGGATGTTTGATGGTTTTCTCCTGTCTCCTCAGATGTTTGATGGTTTTCTCCAGTCTCTGTTTCCTCAGATGTTTGATGGTTTTCTCCTGTCTCCTCAGATGTTTGATGGTTTTCTCCAGTCTCTGTCTCCTCAGATGTTTGATGGTTTTCTCCAGTCTCTGTCTCCTCAGATGTTTGATGGTTTTCTCCTGTCTCTGTCTCCTCAGATGTTTGATGGTTTTCATCTGTCAGCGTTTCTTGAATGATGGGAGATGAAACTTCTGTGGGGTGTGAAATGGTTTCTGCAGTCTGATCGTTGTCTGGACGTTCCTCTTTTTGTTCTAAAGTTGTTCTACTTCCTGGTTGGCTTTCTTCTTCTGTGGATTTGATTTCGTCTTGTTTATTAGTCAGTTTAACTGTTATTGTTTCTTCTTTGTGCTCTGTTATTATTATACTTTCAACTTTGGGTTCTTCTAAACGTTCCTCTGATTCCTTTTCTTTGAACTCTGTCTTGGTTTTGTGTCCCTCCTGGACGTCCTCTTCCTCCTGGACGCCCTGCACCTTCTTAAGTTCTAGATCAGTCCAGTTCCTCCAGTCGTCTTTTGCCCCCATCGAAAGATGCCTCACGATTTTGTTGCCTCTCTCCAGGTCGCCGGCATTGACTTTTCCTCCTTTCTTCCACCTCTTGTGAAGGAGGGAAGGCGACAGCGACAGAGTGGAGGCGGAACGCTCCAGAGGGACGGACAGGTTCCCCTTTTCTCTCTGGTTCCTCTCTCGTTCTTCTTCCCTCTGCCGAGCCCGAGCCCACGCCATCCGAAACCCGTGGCAGCGACCCCTGGGGTCAAAGGTGGACGAGGGTTTGTCTTTCCTCCACTTCTCCAGCTCCTTCTCTATCCGTTTCTCCAGGTCTTTGCTCGAAAGCGGCACTGAACACACCTGGAGTGAAAGAAGGGTGACGTTTAAGTTTAACCTTTTGAAAATTTGTTTTAAAAATATCGCTAAATACATATCAATAAGGTGAAATATTCTTAAATGAATTCTCTTTTATGTTTGAATTGCAATAACAAAATTAAATGTTTGATATAATGCAAATTATAAGGGAATTAAAGTGTAATTCCTTTTAGGGGGATTTTATTTTCATAAATTTTAAATCTTTAGAAATATGGAACGCTTTTATGGTGAAAACGAAAAACATTTCTAAAAATAAAAAATACATAAAATCAAGTCAAGATTTCATCCTCAGATCCAACAGGAGCAGATGTATGTTTGTTGATGAGCATTTTGACATAAAATACCCTAAAGTATTATTTGGATTATTTTATGTTTAGATTTTCGCTGGCAGCAGGGGTGCCACCAAGGAGGGGTGCCAAGGGGGCCATGGCCACCCGTAAAAAATTGGTGCCCTCCCCCCGGCCAGACAAACTAAAGAAGACCTGTGTAAATCAGGTGATTCCCTTACTCCTGTACTGTGTAGCTGTATTTATCAAATACGCCATTTATTAGCAGGAAAACAGACGATCCTTAAAGTGTAACTTACCCCCCTGTGAAAAGATAACTCCGCCCCAAGGCGAAATTTGAAAAATGCATCAAAGTGGGTAGG